CCTGTAAATTAGAGCACGATAGCCCCCTAGAGTGAGGTTTCTATGGAATTCGATCATGCTTCCAACGTTATGATCGTAAACGATTTGTTTTGTGTACAATACCCATCTTCCAATCTCGCTTTCCTATCAATGTTTCAGACACAATCTAATATGTCAAATGGCTGTTTATCATCTTATTGCAACCAAGAGAAATATGGTGGATCAAATAGAGACCTCTTTAGCATGAACCGCTTTCCTCACCGCTGGATCATTTAGCCAGGTTGTTGCAACTCTATCATCCTGCATCCATACAAACTTTTCAGTTTATAAACTAGTGTAAAAAACACATATGAAAACAAATTTATCACAATTAGTTCTCAAATTTTTTATTTTTTTTTGGTCAAACAGTTCTAAAATTTTTATTTCTTCAAATCTACCAAGTATTGGTGTTTACTTGTTTAAAATTTTTTTTTTTAATTGTTATAGTTATATCTAATATTCTAATACAAATGGATAAACCTAATTGAACATATGTAATTTCGTGTGTAAATAGTAGTTTCCCCCCAAACATATGAAGTATGCATGATGAGGTTAATTACTCACAATGCAAAAACCATTAGAGTCAGCAAGGAGTTGAGACCAACTAGGGACAATGCATGGACGCGCAGCAACATCTAAGGGCCACGCACGTCCAAACATTCTCTTTCTCACTGGCAATGGTCTTTCTGTTTTGCCCAACTTAAGGAAACTTGGAGGAAGAGATCCGATGTCAAACGAGGATATAGATGTTTTGTGGTAGCATGGTTCTATAATGTTATATTCGTTTAGTAAGCTAACTGTATCTGTCACTTTTTGAATCTTTTCAAGACATTCAGCACTAGCATTTGGCACATCATAATACTTTTCTCTGCAAGCCGCTTCAGTCTCCTGCAATTTCTTGTTACATATTAAATAAAATTATTGACGAATAAAGTGAAAGTTATTTGAAATTAAGCAACCAAACGAAACCTCAAAGAGTTCATTAGATATAAGTGCCATCCCATGTGCGAAGGGGACAAGAGCGTGACAATCAAACATCGGATCTGTAACTCCATTACCCACCAAATATCCCTATTCAACGTATATATAGGTACAATTTAAGAATCATGAACCATAACCCCACTAAAATTTCAATTTAAAATAAATCTTTAGTTGTAATATTTCATTAGTTGTACCTTTAAGTTGATAATTGGTTTGGTCACATTCGTTGTTGTTTTGTTTCTTTTATTTTTTCTTTTTTCATTCTTATTTCCTACAACATAATCAAAAAAAAAAGAGATAAATTAGAAAACGCATTTGTTGTTGTTGTTGCTAACATATGTAAAGGAGCTAATAAGATGATAAATAATAATGACCTTTGACAATTTCTGAAGCAAGCATTGGCACATAGATACCAGCATATGATTCTCCTGAGATAAAAAACGGATTGGATTGAAACTCTGGAAACTTCTTAAACCACTGTTGAACATTGAATTTAATAGTTAATTCCTTGAATCACACATACAAGTACAACAAAAAGAAAGTAGTTTGCAAATCAGTTACATTCTTATTTCACCTCTATAAGGAATGCATGAGAGTCAAATGCAGTTTTTATATCATTTGTTGTATAGTCAGACTTGTCCTTCGAGTAAGAGTATCCCACACCAACTGGAGAGTCAAGGTATATGATATTAGAAACCTGAAAAAAGAACATTTCAAAAATTTTACAATTATATCATAGAAAAAAAAAGAGATGGTATGTTTATCAAGAGTCTTCCTTTCACCTTAGACCAACTATAACGATTGAGGTGCAAACGAGGGACGTTTGTCTTTGTCAGTTCGAAATTGAAAGGTCCTGCAATTGTATTGAATTAGATTATATGTGCGAGTATTTTTGGGTCGAAATCAAACAAATATTTTTGTATAAACCGAGTATTTTTCCTACTTAAAGCATCTATATTACTTGACATAAAAACACAGACCAAATCCCACCTTAAGTATCCTGATTTTGATAAACGAAAGGTTGATTATTTGGAGCTTACCGTGCTCGTAAATAAATCCATCCATGCTAGAGCAACCTGGACCACCATTAAGCCAAAGCACAACAGGATCTTCTGAAGCATTTTTCTCTGATTCCACAAAGTAATACCATAAATTCTTACTACCCTCCTTATCTATCGCTACATACCTTAGATCATACACCAATTCCAACAAAAGAGTTTAAAAAATTTACAGGAAGAAACTCTGGAATTAAACTACATGAAGTATGAGATTTTTGGTAAAATGTAAGCATAAAAATTAAGTTTACCCGGCATAGTGTTTAGATGGAAAGCTGTTATTGAAGCCAGGAAGTTTGGTGATGAGATCAGATTGAGGATCTGAATCTGTTATTGCAAAACTCAAAGACAACAATATCAAAGTAACAACAAATTCCACTAACCACCCCATTTTGATAAGGAATAGAAGAATACAATTACAACCAATATCTCTTTATCATAAGAATTGTTTTTAAGAACACTAGATGTGACAAAAAAAAAAAAGAGAAGAACATTAGGTGTGACCAAAAATCTAGGGAATTTAATGAAGAGACCACTAGATATGGAAAAATATCTAGGGAATTTAATGAAAATAACACTAAGTATGGGAAACTTTTCAAGGAATTTAATAAAATTTTTTTGCAATTTAACAATTTGGC